AAAAAAAAAAAACAAGTTTACCGCATTCAACTTTAAATTTTAAATATGTTAGATGTGAAGTAAAAACCTTTGTGCCACCTTTTCTTTAAAACGTATAAAAGAGTTGTAATTTCTCCTTATAAAAGGATAGAACCATCGGGTTAATAAATATTATCTTTAATAAAGTCAATAATAAACGAAGTTCCAAAATTCTAAAATAAACTTTCTATACTAAAAAATTGTATTACGTCCGTTTTGACTTCATTATATTTCATCTTATAATTTTCGTGTATGGTGTAATTTTTTTAATGATTCTGGATATTGCTAAGAGACCCTTTCAATACTAATATACTTTAAACCTCACCTATTTGATGGTTTATAATGATCGTGAAGCGCATTTTAAATTTTTTACCAATCCTAATAATTTCGATTGTTTATAAGTCTGCCGCAGTTAACACTAATGAAGATTTCGTAATTCATTCTGTAAAACCGATTGAAAATAAAACATGGGAAAATTGGAATGGAAAAATTCATATTTCGCCAAATGCCATTTTTGAACCGTCTACGCTTGAAGACCTTATAGAAATTGTAAAACTAGCAAAGACAAATAATAAAACTATTCGATGCGCTGCCCAAGGGCATACAGAAAGTTCCTTATCTGTCACAAAAAATTATCTAGTAGTGGTTACAAATTTAAATCAGATCACTGTTCAAAAACATCCAAAATATGGTTGGACTGTTACTGCCGAAGCAGGTAAATGTTTATTTATATATACAGTCAACCCTTCCTAAGTACTCTAAATGCTGATAGCTTGTATTTAGAGAACAATAAGAAAAATTACATTTATAGAGATCTGAATATATATTTATTCATGATAAAGATAACATATGAGTCATTGTATTATTTAATTAAATATAGGTACATCATTATCTGATCTTGATAAAGCACTCCGAAATCATGATCCGCCATTGACTCTTAATTCTGAAACTGTACCTGACAATTTGCGAGTATCTGGTGTTATAGCAGTAGGAGCACATGGTACAAAGACCAGTTCAGGTATTATGTCAGATCAACTTTGTTCTATGCAAATTGTCACCGGGTCTGGCAAAGTATGTGAATTTAGTGAAGAAATAAACAAATCAGAATTCAATGCCGCAAAAGTCAATTTAGGTATTCATTAGGTTTTTACTTTTGATTATTACTTTTCTTTCTTAACTAACTTTATTATTGTTTAGGTTTACTTGGTATAATCTATTCGTTGACTTTTCGCGTACAACCGATGTACAATCTTCGTATTGATAACATCTATATTCCAATAAACGAATTGAATCCAAAATATATCAAAAATCTTTTAGAATCAGCTGATGGTATTAATATAGTTTACCTGCCATTCACTGGATTCAATCAGAGTGATCCGGTTCCTCTTGATCCTAATA